TTTGTGTTTCTTCAATCATATGATATTAATTAATCGGTCGACAGCTTCTTGAATAAAGACATATGTGACAAACGTATGGCCATACAGATAGAATAAAACAAACTTCTAGTGCTGTCTATCAGTCTTTCCATATTAACCATTAGAATAGGGAAATATTAGAGGAAGTAATAACCTCTTATTACATCCCCTAATTGTTTTTAAAGGAAGCAATTACATCCTGTTGCTTTGCTGGTGTGACACCTATGAATATTTGAGAAAAGCCAATATTGATGATTCCAATGTATTTCATATTTTCATACAGAAAGTATTTAAATCAATTCATCCAACTAATATTAAAATGAGTTTTCAATTATTAAACATAATACAAATAAGAATTTTCAAAGAAAAAACGTATCAAAAAGACAATAAAAATGACATTATTATATAAAACACTACGACAAAAACCATAGTACACATGGATTAATTCATTTTTTCTTTTGATCTTCGTTGTAGAAAAACCTTATCCTTGAAGAAGATATTCATGGAAAAATAAACGTAAAAAAAGAATTTTCTTATCAAATTTAATATGACACTTAAAATGGATCACCGTTATAAAACTCCCATAAATCATCCATTAAATCATTCATTGTAAGAAGATCAGTATTCATATCTAATAAACGTATTATAACAATTCCGTCACATTGTAAATAATGTTGACTAAAATTTTTTGGTCTAGGTTGACAATCACATATTTGTATGACTTCATTATTTTGCTTTTGTTCTAATGTAAATTTTGATAATGTACGATGTACACGACGACGACGTGTATCAATTATATCTCGATGAAATAAAAAGAAAATAATCCATTTTACAATTAAATTATATATTGTACACATGAATAATAAAATTAACCATAAATAAGAAAAAATAAAAATTTTTTCATTAAATATATTTATTGGTAAAACACATTGAACTGTATGTCGATGTTTATTTTTTCCAAGAAAACGTACAATAAAATCGCATAAAACATTTGTTGGAAATTGTAATGATGTATGACGTACGGTATTACTATAGATAATAAAACGTTCAGCTATATCTTTAATATTAAAATTAAAATTCATAAAATAATGTAAACATATTAATTGTATAAGGATATTTATTACATAAGTTAATTTAATAAATAAATAAAATATTGTTAATTTTGGTATTATTGTTCTTGGACGCGTACGAAAATATTGATCAAGACGAATAGCAACATTCCGTATTAATTGTCGGCGATATGATGGTGATTCTAATAATGAACGATGACTCATATGAAGTTGATCTAAATATGTTTGTAATGATATTCCTAAATGTGATGATCCACTTCGCCAAAAAAATCCAGGTAAAAAAAATCCAAATGTTTGTAACATTAATATAAATGGAACATATTGATAATAACGTATAACATATGAATCTTGTCGTATTTCAAAATCATTTACTTCAGGAATATCTTTATCAAATGAAATAAAATATGTATCGGATATCCAACAAACAAAATCTGTATATGTTATATGAGCACCAGTAAATGATGCTGGAGTAAAACATGATATTGGTTTGCCAACAAATTGAACAGATGAAACAATAAGAATAAATATGGAAAAAATAAGTACTGAATAATGACGTGATAAACGATCAACAAAATCATCATCACATCGTCCAAAACCAGTATAATAACCAAGAATTGTATAAACATCAAGTCTAGTAGAAATTAAAGTTTATTGAGAAGAAATTTTTTTTTTAATAACAAAATTTTTGTATGAACTCTGTCTCGTATTTTATTTATCAGACCTTGATAAGATAAAGAATAATCTAAAGTAATTGGTATCTATTATGATCTGCAAAAATGATTTATAATAATATAACACGCATGAAATAAATTTGTTCATATTATAAAACATGAATCGTTTTTTATGATTTTTACTTTTCTATTAAAATAAAATCATCATTCGTAATATATTTAGAACATTTTCCTCTTACGAAAGCTTTCCTATTATCTCATTAGTCTATACAGTAGAATGCAAATGAAGAACTATTTAACTTGATTGATAAAAAATCAAATTAGACAATCATTAAGTGAATTTTTCTATGAAGATTTTTGTCTCATTGATAGATAATTGTAGAAAACTGATGTTGATTTATCTTAAAGATTAAAACATTCTGTTTAATTTCATACAATAAAAATAAAAGAACTTTTTTGTTAACTCTTTTTGATTATTATGTTAACTTCTTTTTTTAAAATTTATTTCGAAGTTAAGATTTATTTCTCTCAAATAAAAATAATCAACGCCTCATCGTAATAAATAAGATTATTGTCATAAATCGAAAGAAACATATTAATTCAATCAGTATTAATTCGATTTAGAAAGAATTGGAACACTAATTTATTTTCCAACTGTTTTATAAAACAGACAGTACTAAAATAAAATATCATACTATCCAAATAGTTCCTCAATCGTTTTGATTTCATTTTTTTAAACTGAATTTTAATAAATTCTATATGAAAGGAAACTATTGTCTGTTTCGTCAATGTAAGATTTAAATGAAATTTATTTTGTATATTACAACCAATATGAAAATAAAATAAAAACAATTTACCTGTGATAGGATCGTTTGAGATATTTTGTCATTTCAAGTAATGAACTAAATATGTACACTTCTTGTTTGATAGTTGCACACTCAATTATTCAAAACACATTCTTCTCTCTGTTTTATCTATTTTCGAAATACTCTAGAGATTTTACTGATGTTTGTCTCTTTCTCTCTCTCTCTCTCTCGCTTTTTTTTCCTCTTTCTGTCTCTACTTTTACATATACTCATTCAATGAGGCACATATTCAAATCAAAGTTTTCATACATCCATCCACTAGAGAACAATTAAATGAACTAGCTTCTTTTTTTTTCTTTATCTCACCCACTTAGTTTTCTCTCTTTATCATGATGAATTATTCTATCATCATAGAAGTCTTTGTTTAGTTCATTCTCGTTCTGTTCAAGTAATGATCTAGAAAGAAAACTTGTCATCTCGGCGTCTTCTCGAACATATTAATTGACTTAACAAATGTATGTGTCTTGCCCACATTCACCAAAACAGAAAATGATGATGATGTTTAGATTAGAATAATAGCATTTCAGTGAATCATATACATATGTGTATCATGGGAATTTGTTTTTTAAATATATCTTTAAGAAAAATAAGATATATATTCAACATTTATTTTACGATTGCTTGACTCGTTCTTGTCTTATAGAAATAGTTATTTGAATTATTAAATAAGAATTTTGAGTTGATGTCGTGATAGAAAATAATTTGACGTATATTTTTTTAGCTTCAATTTATGAAACATAATGGACAAAGCATTTCCGAGTAGGTGTGATATATAAATGAAGTATCTTCTTCTTTTAAGATTAGAATAATTAATACTAGGAAAAGGCAGAGATCTAGGACATTTTTACATTCATAGTACTCACATTATTTAGAAATACAGTTTCTGGAAAAAGAAACAAGTGTATATGTGTCATACGAGATATTGAGTTTTTTTTTTCTGTTTTTTCAATACTAATGTATCATTTATAATGGTTTCATTATTGTAGAAAAAATAATTTTTTAATCAAAAAGAAACATTCTTGTCATACATGGAAGAGGATAATAAATACGCTTGAGAATATATCGATGACATTAACATATATATGTTACTTTCAGCCTTCATGTTTCTTTCGACATGCTATCAATTCAATTGTCACATATGCAATCAGACAAAACGCAAAAGATCATATGAAATTAAATCAAACCTAACTAATTTAGTACTTTTTCTTTTTCTTTATTCATTGCAAACATATTTTCACATTAACAATACAGTCACGTATTAACCTTGTACTCTTTTTTTTCTCTTGCTCTGCGTGTATATCATTACCATGTCTGACGAGTCTTTGAGAAAAAAGAAATTCCATATTTTACAATAATCATGGCATCGTTGTTTAAAAATGCTCTCGAACAAGTTGGACAATCACATAAAGTTGATGATGATATTATTGACAGATTTAATCATCGTTTTACTGTTGTTCTTCTTGTTACATTTACTGCCTTCGTTAGTGCTAAACAATTTGTTGGGTACATATAAAAATTTTTTGTGCATAAGACTGATTAATTATCAAAATATGCATATTTATTCTCTAGAGGACCAATTTCATGTTGGACTCCAGCACAGTTCTCTGACCCACAAGTAGCTTATACGAATAGTATATGTTGGCTTAAAGGTACATATTATCTTGAAGTCGATCGACAAGTAATTCCACATCGTACAGAAAATTCTGAATTTCGTATTGCTTATTATCAATTTGTTCCTTATATATTACTTGTAATGGCATTATTTTTCTATTTACCTCATATGTTTTGGTGAGATATATTTTTTTTTTAATAATCATCTAAAAAATAAAAATTATAATTGAACTGTATTGATTGATGTTACTTGTCTAGGCGTAATATGAGTCGACGTATTGGTTTTGATCTTCGTTCAATAATTCAAAATATAAAACAAGTTGCAAACACAGATATTAATCAAATAGCATTACAAATTCATATAGCTCTTGAATATAATTCATCGAAACATGTTGTTAATCGTCAGAAAATTTTTAATCGTCTATTAGAAATATTTCAATGTTCACGTGGATATCGTTAGATAAAATAATTGTTGATTTGAAAATAAACAAAAAAAAAACAAAGTTTTCTTTTTGTATTATTTCAGGTATTCGTTTAAGTTCATTATATATATTTGTTAAAATTTTTTATATGATTAATTGTTTATGTCAATTTTATTTCCTGAGCACTCTTTTATCATTTCCTTTTCATACATTTGGTACTGAATGGTTATCGACTATGTTAAAAAAAATTCATACGACAGCAAGTAATGAATCAAAATGGTTTCCTCGTGTTGTAATGTGTGATTTTATGGTACGACATCTTGGTTCTAATCATCATTGGATGTAAGTTAATATTTTTTTTTTAATCTTATTTCTCACTTGATATATCGAATTTTAGGGCAGTTCAATGTAATTTACCGATAAATTTATTTAATGAACTTATATTTTTAATTATTTGGATATGGTTTATGTTTCTTAGTAGTCTTACATTTATATCACTTATTTTATGTTTTATTCTTATTTATACGAATATTAGTTGTACATTTATTTATAAATATCTTCATATGAATTTATTCAAATCAGAAAAAGAACAACAAGATGAATTTATTGAAAAATATTTAAAATGTGATGGTATACTTGTACTTCGAATTATTGCTCATAATACAAATGATATTATCATGGCTAATCTTGTTGGTGCACTTTTTAAAATTTATTTGAATTCGATTGAAAAAGAGAACAATGATGATGATGATCAAAGACAGTTGAATGGGCATTATGAACGTGTTGATAGTTCATCAATATAAAAATTAAAAACAATTTTTTTTTTTTAATAATAAAAGAAAAACAATTGAAAGAAAATAATATGCTTAATGCATAGTTATTTTTTCTTCTAGTATAAGAAATAAAGTTCATTAATAATTGTCGAATCTTTTTTTGATTCAACTCAATTTATTTTTTTTTATAGATTCGTTTCTCATACAATGAAACACAACTATTCATGAGAACATGAAGATATAAGACATTGATAGATTACTAATAAATATGTTAATTATCAATCAGTTCTTTTTTTCTAGCCCTTTAAGTTAAAGTCAATATCATAAATCTTATAGAAAAAAATTTTTTCGCTTTGAAAATTTTCAAGTTAAAAAAAAATAAAATCTCTTTTATACATTTTAAAAAAGAATAATAGAATAATTGATAGATTCTTTTTTTTATTCTTGACAAAGAGATGTAACCACGTCAACTGAGAAAAAAAAACAATAAACAACATATAGTGCTTATTGGCATATTCATTAGAAGTCTCTATATGTTCTTTTTTTTCTTTATTATATTAATGTCTTTTCGCTACCATCATACTTAACACTTTATTAAACAACGTAACTAGTCTATGTTTGCATAAGAGAGTATGAGCAAGTGTGTCAATGGCAGCTAAAAAAGGAAATCGAACAGTCAACGCAAAAGCCGCACGAAAATTTTTGTTTATGCATTTTACGTTTCAATCTCTCATGGATACATGAAATGCAAACGAACGAAAGAAAGAAAAAGAAAGCGACACACACAAATACACATATACGAAAAGACAAGATTCATAAATACGAAAAAAATAATATTACTTTTGCTTATTCATATACATTTTTACCAATATATTAAATATAGTTTATCATCAAATAATTTATTTCTATGGATAAAATTCTCATTGCTGAAGATCGTTATGGACTAAAGGCAATTCATCTTGAAGAGGACGATCTTATTGATCGTTTAAATAATAGATTTACAGTCTTGGGATTAATTATGTGTATTTCTATCATTGCGGGAGGTGTTTTAGTCGGTAAACCAATCAATTGTTGGACACCAGGCATGTTTATTTTAAATAAAATAAAAAAATAAAGCATTTTTTATTGATGTTTTTTTTAATACTTCAATTTAGCTGAATTCAAAGACCCACATAGCGGTTATGCGAACAGTATTTGTTGGTTGAAAGGATCCTACTATCTTCCATCAGAAGAAAGTATGCTACATCAATATATTTTGTCATTGAAGCATATGTTTTAGAACTATGAATAAGTTTATCGATTCTTAAAAATGACTAAATGAAAGGTTTTAATTAAAATAAAAATCGAAAAAAAAAGCTTCCTTGATTAGAAACAAATTCTAAAATATTGAGAAAATAAATTATTTCAATGTGAACACAAGTATATTTGTTATTCAATTATATTTTAGTTACCATACCTGATCGATCGATACCTCGAACTTACTTTGTGTAAGTATTATTTCTAGAAATATATTCTTGATTTCAAATTAGATTAAATTTTTAGTTCCTATTATCAATGGACAGCATTTATTCTACTTGGTATGGCTATGTTCTTTCTTCTACCTCAATACATATGGCATGCATTCATACGACAAAGTGGTGTCAATACTCAACGACTTATAAAAACTATTAAAGATCAACCAGATGCTGACAAAGGTGTGGAATCAGCACAAAGCTCATTAAAATTGTTTCTTGATGCACAATATATGTTAAAAGGAGAAATCTGTTGTGGTTATCATTGTTCCAATTTTTATTTTGGTTATACAATAATGTATTTTACAGTAAAAGCTCTTTATGTTATCAATACTATGACTCAATTTTTCTTATTGAATGCATTTTTATCGTTTAATTTTACTAGCTTTGGTCCTCAAGGAATAAATAAAATATTTACTGAGGGTGATTGGTTTGAATCACCAAGATTTCCTCGTGTTACTATGTGTGATTTTATGGTACGACGTTTAGGTTCAAATCAACATTGGTATGCAGTACAATGTACTTTACCAATTAATATGTTTAATGAAAAGATATTTCTCGGTATTTGGATATGGTTAATAGTTTTAACAATATTAAATATTTTATCAATCATTCCTTGGATAATATCATTAACAAGAAAACAGCGATTAGCAACAATTGGAAAATATTTGAAAATGAATAAAACATTATCCGAAGAAAAAGAAACCTTTTCATCATCGACACCAATGTCACCATATGAAATGCACAAATTTAGT